AAAGAATAATTCTTAAATCTTAATGTAATTCTCAAAAATCAAAAATACACTTTTAAAAAGATATACAAGAGGTCAGGAAATTAACATTTATTGTCCACCAATTATGTGGCAGTCATCTCTTCATATGTATTCAATTATTGCCACAATAACCTTGCAAGATAAATGTCAATTCTTAAGATGAAAAAACATTTTAAATAACTTGTGCCAAGTCACGAGAGGCATGATAGCTACATACAAATCAACTTGTAACCCCAGAATTTCAAAGTGATTCTGTCTACCTCAGTGCTTCAGCGAACCTACTACTAAAGCTTTAAAAAATTACCTTTTGGAATAATCAAATTTTCAATTCATAAAAATTTAGGGATAGAAGATAGTCCAACTTCTTCATGTTACAGGTAAAGAAATTGAGGGCCTTAGAGAGAAATAGAGAATCTGAACACAACAATCACAAGAGATTGAAACAGTAACCAAAAACCTGCCAAAAAATGGGGCGAGCCCAGGGGTGCAGCAATTAAGTTCACGTACTCCACTTCGGTGGCCCGGGGTTTGCCAGTTTGGATCCTGGGCAGGGACCTACGCACCACTTATCAAGCCATGCTGTGGCAGGAATCCTACATATAAAGTAGAGGCAGATGAGCACGGATGTTAGCTCAGGGCCAATCTTTCTCAGCAAAAAGAGGAGGATTGGCAGCAGATGTTAGCTCAGGGCTAATTTTCCTCAAGAAAAAAAGAAAGAAAGAAAAAACAACTGCCAAAAAACAAAAGTCCAGGACCAGACAGCTTCTCTGGTGAATTCTACCAAATATTCAAAGAAGATTTAATACTTATCCTTCTCAAACTCTTCCAAAAAATTGAAGAGGAGGGATGCTTCCTAACTCATTTTACAAGGCCAACATTATCCTAATACCAAAACCAGACGAGAACAATACAAAAAAGAAAATTTCAGGCTAATATCACTGATAAACAATAGACACAAAAATCCTCAATAAAATCAAAGCAAATCAATCAACATGATACACCACATTAACAAGGAAGAATGAAAATCACATGATCATCTGAACAGAATAGAAAGAATTTGACAAGATCCAACATCCATTTATGATTTAAAAAAAAAAACTCTCAATAAAATAGGTATAGAAGGAAAGTACTTCAATATAATAAAGACCATACGTGACAAACCCACAGTCAACATCCTACTTAACAGTGAAAAACTGAAAGCTATTCCTCTAAGAACAGGAATAAGACAAGAATGCTCACTCTCATCAATCTTATTCAACACAGTACTGGAAGGTTTAGCCAGAGAAATTAGGCAAGAAAAAGAAATAAAAGGCATCCAAATTGGAAAGGAAGCAGTAATACTGTCACTATTTGTGGAGGACATGATTCTATATATAGAAAATTGTGAAGAATCCACCAAAAAACTATTAGAAATAATTTTAAAATACAGTAAAGTTGCAGGTAAAAAAATCAACATACAAAAATCAAGTGCATTTCGGGGCTGGCCCCGTGGCCGAGTGATTAAGTTTGTGCGCTCTGCTGCAGGCGGCCCAGTGTTTCATTGGTTCGAATCCTGGGCGCAGACATGGCACTGCTCATCAAGCCATGCTGAGGCAGCATCCCACATGCCACAACTGGGTGGACCCACAACGAAGAATATACAACTATGTAACGGGGGGCTTTGGGGAGAAAAAGGAAAAAAATAAAATCTTTAAAAAAAAAAATCAAGTGCATTTCTATACACTAATAATGAACTAGCAGAATGAGAATTCAAGAATACAACCCCATTTACAATCCCAACAAAAAGAATAAAATACCTAGGAATAAATTTAACCAAGGAGGTGAAAGACCTTCACACTGAAAACTATAAAACATTATTGAAAGAAATTGAAGAAGACATAAAGAAATAGAAAGATATTCCATGTTCATGGATTGGAAGAATTAACATAGTTAAAATGTCCATATTACTTAAAGGAATCTAAAGAGTCAATGCAATCCTCATCAGAATCGCAATGACATTTTTCATAGAAATAGACAAAGAATCCTAAAATTTATATGGAACAACAAAAGACCCCAAATAGCCAAAGGAATCCTGAGAAAAAAAGAGTAAAGCTGGAGGTATCACACTCTCTGAATTCAAATTATACTACAAAGCTATAGTAATCAAAACAGCATGGTACTGGCAGGGAAAGAGACACAGAGATCAATGGAACAGAATTGAAAGCCCAGAAATAAAACCAGACATCTATGAACAGCTAATCTTCAACAAGGGAGCCAAGAACATACAATGGACAAAGGAAAGTCTCTTCAATAAATGGGTGCTAGGAAAACTAGATAGCCACAGGCAAAAGAATGAAAAGAATCAAAGCAGACCATTCTTACTCCATACACAAAAATTAACTCAAAATGGATTAAAGACTTGAATGTAAGACCTGAAATCATAAAACTCCTAGAAGAAAACATAGGCAGTACATTTTTTGACATTGGCCTTAGCAGTATCTTTTCAAATACCATGTCTCCTCAAGCAAGGAAAACAAAAGAAAAAATAAACAAATGGGACTACATCGAACTGAGAAGCTGCTATACGGCAGAGGAAACCATCAACAAAATGAAAAGACAACCCACCAACTGGGAGAAAATATCTGCAAATCATATATCCGACAAGAGGTTAATTTCCAAAATACATAAAGAATTCATACAACTCAAGAACAAAACAATAAACAACCCGACCAAAACTGGGCAGAAGATATGAACAGTCATTTTTCCAAAGAAGATATACAGATGGCCAACAGGTACATAGAAAAGATTTTCAACATCAGTAATCATCAGGGAAATGCAAATCAAAACTACAATGAGATATCACTCATTCCCGTCGGAACAGTTATTATGAAAAAGACAGGGGGGGCCGGCCGTTTGGCTCAGTGGTTGGGTTTGTGCGCTCCGCTGTGGTGGCCCAGGGTTTTGCCGGTTCGGATCCTGGGTGCGGACATGGCACCGCTCCACCAAGCCATGAGGCAGCGTCCCACATAGCACAAGTAGAAGGACCCACAACTAAAAGTACACAGCTATGTACTGGGGGGCTTTGAGAGAAAAGGAACAATAAAATCTTTGAAAAAGAAAAAGGACAGGAAAAAACAAGGGTTGGAGAGGATGTGGAGAAAATGGAACCCTCATACACTGCTGGTGGGAGTGTAAACTGGTGCAGCCACTATGGAAAACAGTACGGAGATTTCTCAAAAAATTAAAAATAGAAATATCATATGATCTAGATACTCCACTTCTGGATATTTATTCAAAGAACATGAAAACACTAATTCAAAAAGATATATGTACCCCCACATTCACTGCAGCATTATTCACAATAGCCAAGACTTGGAAGCAACCCAGCGTCCATCAACAGATGAATGGACAAAGAAGATGTGGTATATATACACAATGGAATACTACTCAGCTTAAAAAAAGAAAAAATCGTGCCATTTGCAACAACATGGATGGACCGTGAGGCTATTACGCTAAGCAAAATAAGTTAGACAAAGAAAGACAAATACCATATGATCTCACTCATATGTGGAAGATAAACAAATAAACACAAAGTTAAGGAGAACAGATTGGTGGTTACCAGAGTGGAAGGGGGTAGGGAGAGGGTAAAAGGGGTAAAGGGGTACATACGTATGGTGATGGATAGAAACTAGACTTTTGGTGGTAAACATAATGCAGTCTATACAGAATATGAAATCCAATAATGTACACCTGAAATTTACACAATGTTATAAACCAATGTGACCTCAATAAAATAATATTTTTTTTCTTGGAGGAAGATTAGCCCTGAGCTAACTGCCACCAATCCTCCTCTTTTTGCTGAGGAAAACTGGCCCTGAGCTAACATCATGCCCATCTTCCTCTACTTTATATGTGGGATGCCTACCACAGCATGGCGTGCCAAGCAGTGCCATGTCCACACCCGGGATCCAAACCGGTGAACCCCAGGCCGCTGAAGTGGAACTTGCGCAGTTAACCACTGTGCCACCGGGCCAGCCCACAATAAAATAATTTTAAAAAAAGAAATTGAAGATTAAAGCATTAAAGATTAAGGAACTTAACCAAAATATAATACTTAAGCTCACTAAAGCTGTATTCTAACCAATAATTTATAATAGAATCAGAATTGAATTTATCTATATATCTGATACTAAAAGCACGGCATTCACTTTGAGCTGTTTTTCTTGTAGAGACAAAGAGCCCACTAACTATTCAGTCTGTTGGCCAACATCCCCTTGTACACAGTGGTACACAAACACAAAGCAGTTAACAATCTAGGAGTACACCTGTGGTCATGAAAAATAGTCCACATGAGAACAATGCTAAAACCAAATGAACTCATCATATTCGACTTCCTTTATGTGGAAAAGTTTCAGTCATCATAAATAATGCACAAGATACAACTTTAAAATATTCATACATTTCCTTTTAAAAAAATGTATACCTACCAACAAGCCAAAACATGCCAAAAAGTTTCCAAATATTTTCATACCAAACCATAATCTAAGAATCAGTATAGCTGCAGGTTTAACTTCTTTACAATTCCAATATAGTCATCAATAATTAAAATCATCTTTCACCAAATAGCATTTTGTATCCTTTAAGTATATTTCTTTGATTTTTAAGTAAAAGTAAGTCCACCATTTTTATTAAACAACACACTTTCTCTCTCTCATGCACACACATATTCCATTCAAATTTTTCAATTAAGTTTTAGTTATGTTATATATACTTACTGCTATGATTTCCTTAATTCATAACCAAAGCAGTAACATTTAAAATAAGTACAAGATTCTCAGTATGCATTATACTTCATATGTAGATCGTACTGTCATATGTAACAATACAGAAAAGAAAGAGTAACTAGGATGCCAAAGGCATCTTTTTTTCTGACAAGACAAAGCTCTTTCACAACAGCCTGCTAAGAATATCTTAAACTCAATTTAGCACAGCTAATGACATACCTAAGGAACCCCTGGTCTGTTGACTGTTTGGTGGTATGTTTTCCTTAGCCATGGAGATTAATATTTTACTGTTTTCAGAAAGCTTCTCTGATGCCTCTCCCTGAAAGAGACATAACATTTACAAAAGCAGAAGAAAAAAACCCCACAAAATATACAATTCATCTCAATGCTTTTATTAAACAACTTGATGAAATTAGACAGTTACACTGCAGAAGAAATTTAAGTGTAAGGTTTGAGAATTAACCCAAGGTATTTAATACTGTATTAAATGTTCTAATATTTAGCTCATTCACTTATCAACAAATATTCAGTGAGTTCCTAATGGGTACTGTCCCAGGCACTGGAAATACATAAGAGAAAAACACAAGAATCTCTGCCATCATGGAGCTTATAAAATATTGTAGAGACAAACAATAAACACAATACATCATTAGATTATGTGATGTGTAGACAGTGCTAGGGAAGGGCTATGAAAAAAAACAGAGCAGGGTAAGGAGACCCAGAAGCAATGGGGGAGGGACTGCAAGGCTCACTGAGCAGGTGATACGTGAACTAAGACTTAAAGATTATTATTTATGTACTATTTAATACCAGAAATTATAATAAAGCAGTATTTAAAGCTATGTAATAACTCTTTCCAAACAGTGTAAGCTAGTCCAAGTACTGGAGAGTGGTTAAGAGCATAGACTTTGGAGCTGGACACACGAAGGTTCCAATCCTGAATCCACCACTGTGTGTACCTGGACAAATTTCCTTAACCCCTTTAAGCCTCACTTTCCTGATGTGTAAAACAAAAAAATATTCCACCTATTTCACAGGGATATTAAAGTCCTTAACACAACTCCTTGCACATGGCAGGTATTATGAAAGGAAGGCAACCTAGTATGGTGGTTAAGAGAACATGCACTGGATTCAAGTTGCCAGGGATCAAAGCCTAGTTCTAACTCTATCATCTTAGTTTCACTACTTAACTTCCCCATGCCTCAGTTTATTCATTTGGAAAATGACAATAATAACAGTACTTATCTCATGGATTCATGTGAAATATCAGTATAACCTCTTAAGACTACACCTCGTCCATAGTTAGCACACAATAAATGTTAGCTATGTGAGTAAAATTCCTCTATAATTAGGGCGTCCATATTATTTATCATCTCAACCAGAATACTTCTGTCTAGGACAAATGCTATACCAGATGAGACACAGGAACAACAGGTAAACTAGGATTGTCTTGGGCAAACCAGTATATATATGGTTACTCTCATTATGATGGACCATATAGGAGAGATTAATCTACATTCTTTGTTTCATTACATACACTGAGCCCATGAGACAAGGTGCCACATCTGTCTAGATTAGTGCTGTATTCTGAGCCTAGCACAGTAGCTAGCACAGTCTCAATAAATATTTGCTAAATGGATGAATCACTCTCACCAAAACTTTAAGAAAGCTTTAAGAAAGTTTTTTCAGACATTGCTTTCACAAATATTTTAACAAATATATATTCTGAGCAAATATGCAAAATAAAAGAAACTATTCTAATAAATTCACTTTTGTAGATTTCAAAAAATAAAAATTTTTTTGAGATATTGACTCATTTAAAAAAATTGAACTTTTTTACACAGACTACGAGAACTTGCTTTTACACGTATTGTTCATATTCTGAAAGTTCCTTGTACTAGAACTAGTCTCCTAATCCTTTTATGAAGGACATAAATTATTAATTAAAACTCTAATAAGAGAGAGGAGAAGTTGTGAGATACAAAATACTGCAAAAGAAAAACTGCATTCGAAATCACTGAAATCTTGTCCAGAGTCAGGCTCTCAGAGTTAGAATGAAAGCACAGCCAAACTTAAGCATGAAACAGATGATTCTCACTCATAGAAGAGGAGGTTTTGCATTTACACAGGGCTAAGCTTTAACGGCAATCTTAATGTAACATGCTGGGAGAAAATGATTAACTTCACCTTCATTTCCATGTAAGGTGGATCACTTTCCAATTCTGCTTTGTCTTTGGCCAATTTGGCTTTTCGCTCTTCAATAAATTCATCCAAATTATCAGTCATTTTGTAGATACTGAAAGAAAATAAAACAAAACTTTTAAAGAGGACAGTTACATCAGAGGATTTTTAGGCTAATTATTAACATGCAGGCTTAGCCTACATTTAGTATTTCAACTCATTTCCCAAATGGAGAACTTCAAACAAGCTTGACTGAAATGTCTGCCTGCTTTCTCTCCAAACTTCCCAGAAAGACCTACATTTAAAATACCCAAAAAGAAAGAAAAAATAAAATGAACCACCACCACCATCCCCACACACATACCAAAAAAAAAAACTTTGAACTCTAAGTCAAAGCACTTTTTTTCTGTTTTTTTTTTTAACTACTTGGAGGTAATTAGGTAATTGTGAACATACAAAAAAGTTACAATAAAAATAGTACAAAGAACACCTTACTCTTTACCTATTTCCTATTTTTGAGATTTTGCATCATTTGCTTTATCCTTTATGCACATAGTTCATTCTCTCTTTACACACATAATTTTTTCCAAAATTATTCAGAGGGTGAATTACATATATCATGGCCATTTACCCCTAAACATTTCCATGTGTACTAAGTTATTCTCTTACATAACCTCAATATCAGCTTCAGTAACATTGATTTTTTTAATCTACTGTCCATGTTCCAATGTTGTCAAATGACCTATTAGCGTCCTTTACAGCATATTTTTCTCTCTTTCCAGTTCAGGATCCAGTCTATGTTATTCATTGTTATGTCTCTTTAGCCTTCTTTAATTTGGAACATTTCCACCACCTTCCTCTGTCTTTTATGACATTGATATTTTTTCATACATCCCACCCCCACCCACCCTTTTTAATAGAATGGTCTCATTTGGGGTTTGTCTGATGTTTCTTCATAACTAAATTCAGGTTATGCATTCTCAAGAGAAATATTACTTAGGTGGTGATGTGTCCTCTTCAAAGTGTCAATAATTAGAGACACACGATGACCATCTGCCCTTCATTAGTGATGTTATTTCTGATCACCGGGTCAAGCCACTGTCTGATTTCTGCACTACTGTTCCCTTCTAACTATGAGGAGGTATTTTCAGACCACACAAATATCCTGCTTCTGATCAAAATTTCCAAGATTTAGCATCAACTGGTGATTCTTAACAGATCCAATCTTTGATTCTAGATGGCTGCAAAATGCTAATTTTCCAATTCCACCACTCTCTGCATATTTCATTCACCACTTAGCACTTATTCTAAGAACCCTTCCTTTACCCACATTTATCAGCTTATCATCAGTATGTTCTCATGAAAGCCTATATTTTTCAGTAAGCCCTAGAATTGTTTTTAAATTCATAAGCTGTTGTTTTTATTGAAGAATAACTTATATACCATAAAATTCACCCATTTTAGTGAACATTTCCATAAGTTTTAGTAAATTCACACAGTTGTGCAATTTTCCCCACAATCACACCTTATAATGCTTCCATCACCCCAAAAAGGTTCTCTCATGCCCCTGTGTAGTCAATCCTCATTCCCACCCCCAACTCAGGCAAACACTGATCTGCTTTCTGCCTCTATAGTTTTGCCTAATGTGGAAATTTCATATAAATGGATCATACAATACATAGTCTTTTGTGTCTGGCTTCTTTCAGTTAATGTTTTTGAGATTCATCCTTGCAGCTATTAGTAAGTAGTTACTGTTTTTTTACTGCTAATTAGTATTCCATTGTATAGAAATGCCACATTTTATTATCTATTCACCCACTGCTGGACATTTGGGTGGTTCCCATTTTTTGGCTATTTATGAATACTGATACTATGAACATTCGTGAACAGGTTTTTGTGGTGGACATATGTTTTCAATTCTCTTCAACACACACTTAGTGTGGAATTGCTGAGACATCTGTAACTATGCTTCACATTTGAGGAACTGCTAAACTGTTCCTCTAAGTGTAAAGTGACTGGACCATTTTACATTCCAACCAGCAGTATATGAGGGTTGCAATTTCTATACATCCTCACCAATACTTGGTATCGTCAGTCTTTTTTTTTTTAAAAAAGATTTTATTTTTCCATTTTTTCTCCAAAGCCCCCCCCCCCACCAGTACATAGTTGTGTATTTTTAGTTGTGAGTCCTTCTAGCTGTGGCAGGTGGGATGCCACCTCAGCATGGCCTGATGAGCAGTGCCATGTCCACACCCAGGATCCAAACCAGCGAAACCCTGGGCCTCTGAAGCACAGCATGCAAACTTAACCACTCGGCCACAGGGCCAGCCCCATCTTCACTCTTTTTGATCTTGGTCATTCTATTGAGCGTATAATAGTACTCAATGTGGTTTTAATTTGCATTTCTCTAATGACTATGATGTTGACCCTCTTTTCATGTGCTTGTCATTCATGTATCTTTATTATATATATATATAACCAGTGGCAAAATGTCTTCCAATCTTCTGTCCATTTTTAAAATTAAGTTGTTTTCTTATTACTGAGTTGTAAGTTTTTTGTTTTTTTGTTAAAGACTGGCACCTGAGCTAACAACTATTGACAAACTTTTTTTTTTAAATTGCTTTTTCTCCCCAAATCTCCCCAGTATATAGTTGTATATTTCAGTTGTGGGTCATTTTAGTTGTGGCATGTGGGATGCCGTCTCAACATGGCCTGATGAGTGGTGCCATATCTGTGCCCAGAATCCTATCCAGTGAAACCCTGGGCCACCAAAGTGGAGCGCATGAACTTAACCACTCGACCATGAAACCGGCCCCAGATTTTTTATATATACTGGATACAAATCCTTTATCAAACATGTCTTGTAAATATTCTCTCTTAGTCTGTGGTTTAAGTTTTCTTAATAATGTCTTCTTTTTTTTAATAGATTTTATTTTTTTAGAGCAGTTTTAATTTCACAACAAAACTGAGCAGAAGGTATAGATGTCCCATATATCCTCTGCCCTGCTCATGTACAGCCTCCACTATTATCAACATTCCCAACCAGAGTGGTACATTTGTTACAGTCGATGAACCCACATTGATGTATCATTATTACTCAAAGTCCATAGTTTACATTACCATTCATTCTTGCTTTCTACATTCTCTGGGTTTGTACATATGTATAATGACACGTATCCACCATTATAGAATCATACAGAGCAGTTTCTCTGCCCTAAAGGTCCTCTGTACTCCACCTATTCATCCCTCCCTCCTCTCCAACTCCTAGAAACCAATGATCTTTTTACTGTCTCCATAGTTTTGCCTTTCCAGAATATCGTGTACAGGTGGCCCTCCGTATCTGCAGGTTTCACATCCGTGGATTCAATCTACCATGTTTACAATCAGCAGTTGGCTGAATCCCTTGGGGATACAGAGGGCCAATTAAGAGACTTGAGCATCCATGGATTTAGATATCAACCCAGGGTCCTGGAAACAACCCCCACAGACACCGAGGGACTACTGTGGTTGTAATCACACAGTATATAGCCTATTCAGATTAGCTTCTTTCACTTACCAGTATGCATTACTAACTTTTCTCATTGTCTTTTCAACCCTTCATAGTTCATTTCTTTTTAGCACTGAAAAATATTCTAGCGTCTGGATGTACCACAGCTTATTTATCTACTCCATCTACTGAAGGACATCTTGGTTGCCTCCAGGTTTTGACAAGTAGGAATAAAGCTACTATAAACAACTGTGTGATGATGTCTTAAGAACTAAAGTTTTTAATTTTTATGAAGTCCAATTTATCCATTTTTCATCAATTTTTCATCAATTGTTGTGCTTTTCATGTCATGTGTAAGAAGTTTTTGCCTTCCCCAAGATCACAACTATTTTCTTATATGTTTTCTTTAGAAGTTTTATAGTTTCCTCTCTTACATCTAAGACTATGATCTGTTTCAAGTTAATTTTTACAAATGATGTAAAATGAAGGTCAAGGTTCAATTTTTTTTGCACATGGATATAAAATTATTCCACCACCATTTTTTGAAGACTATTCCTTTCCCTACTGAACCTAGAATTTTTTTAAATACATTTTTCAAAAACCCATGAAACTTAGGGACTAATTGGATTATGTGGGAAGAAAGAAGGAGCCACTGATGACCAAAATTTTAATTCCTGGAAACTAAACGTGGACATAATCCTGTACAGAAATAAGTCAGAAGAACCTGGCTGGTTTGGAAAGGTTTGGTTTAGATAGGTTAAGTTAGGGCTAGTAAGACATGCTATTGGAAATTTCCAGCAGATGGTTAGAAATTCAAGACTTAAATTCAAGGAAAAGGACCACATTAGAAATGTTTATTTAAGAGTTAAGTATTTTAACGATAATATTTGAAGCCAAGATAAATGAGCACAGACAGGAAAAAAAGAGAGATGACCTAGAACTAAATGCTGGGCAATGTACACGTGAAGGGGTGACAGAAGAATTGAAGCTAGAAGAAAATAAAAGAAAGAATAATTTTAAAAAGGATAGAAAGAGGCTGGCCCGGTGGCTGAGTGGTTGGGTTCGCGTGCTCCGCTGCAGGCGGCCCAGTGTTTCGTTGGTTCGAATCCTGGGCACGGACATGGCACTGCTCATCAAACCACGCTGAGGCAGCGTCCCACATACCACAACTAGAAGAACCCACAACGAGAAATATACAAATATGTACCGGGGAGCTTTGGGGAGAAAAAGGAAAAAATAAAATCTTTAAAAAAATAAATAAATAAATAAAAAGGATAGAAAGAAAACCAAGTTGACATACTTTGTGGAAGGAAGAGAGATATAAGAAAGAACCAGTCAATAATATCAAATGTAAGAGTACAAGAAAACAACCATCCACTGAATTTAATCTTTGGGGGACAATGATAATTTGTAAAAATGTAGAGAAGCAAGATTGACTTAAAAGAAATATGTTGAAACTTACATCAGTTTAGTACATAATGTGAATTCAATCTATTATTTATTTCCAAAAAGAACAGATTTTAAAATATAGCTTTAGCAAAATATATTCGAAACCAACAAAAGTTAATATATTTTAATCATTTTTGTTATTTGTCACAAAAGATTTTCCTGGTAAAAATTCAAAACAG